CCGTTGTCCAGCGTTGCGCGTCGGTCCGTAGGTGAGCATTGACCACCTAGCTAGGTCTGTGCGGGTCCCAGTTGGCCGACATAGCAGCTCCGTGTCGGCCACCACCGCGTCGGCGAGCGCGAGGGCTTCGGGGACCTTCCCGATGCGAAGATGAGTCTCTTTGGGGGCCTTCGTGCACAATCGTTGACTAAACGAATAGCGCGCATAGTGGTCGCATTAATAGCAGAAAGTGCGAGGGCTTTTCTGCTAAAACGCCAGCACGCGCGTGGGCTTCTCCGCTGTGGCCCAGCCTCATGTGGGCCGTGTCGTGTGGGCCGCGTCGCGTGGGCCGCGTGGGAGGTTTCGTTTTTCTTTTTCCAAGGAATTAGAAATAGTTTTCTAATTTAATTTTTGAGCTGATCTTTGGTAAATCATATAAAATCATGTAGGTGTCCAAAAATTGTGAAACAAATTTTGTTACGTTCCTAAATTTCGCTCTATCTGTTAGTGTATTTAGTTCATATATGTACATATTGATACCAGGAGCTATTAAATCATTTGAAAATGTTTAATATTGTTAGGAGAATTATTGTAGGAATTCTTGTGGTAAATTGGTGGTAGATTTAGTCCTGAAAATTTTATTGTAGCTTCATGGTATTATTATGTGCTCACTGTAATTTTTGTAGCTTTAGAATAGACTAAACATTAGGATTGTTAAATGCTCTTTGTTTTAATATACATTAAATCATTAGTAGAAATAAAGATATATTCTTCATTTGTAAACCCAACACTTTGCTTGGTAAAAATGATAGGTAGCTTAGCACCTTAGTCATTAGAGCTAGCTTAGTAGCTTAGTATGCGTATTCTTAGTTTAGGAGTAGCTATTGCTTAAATGCTAAGAGTTGCATCATCATCTCATGCATGTAGAGAACGGGTTGGCGGAGATCGTGACCACCGGTGATCATGAGTTTGAGGAGATCGTCGAGGAGTACGAGGAGGAGATTCTCATGCAGGAGGAGGTCCCGGAGCCACCACTGACTGACTCAGCTGACACCGCGCCTGTCCAAGGCAAGCCCCGGTGCATAACCCCTTATTTTTTATAATCACTATTTATATATGTTATGTGCATTTATGTTACATAAATTTTATGGAAACCACCTGCATAAATATATTTGTCCTATGAGTCCTACTAGTGCAGGTTCGAGTAGCTACTATGCTTAGGTTTTCGGTAGCGTGAATAACCTGTCATTACTCACACTAGGTGATTATTATTACTCTCATAATAAAATGATTAAAGAAAAAATAGAGATAGGGCAGGGATATGGTATGGTTTTTTGTGGGTGTAACAGGTTGTGTCACACGGCTAATGGGACTTAGCTTGGTTATACTGTTTTTCTTGTTCGTGTCGATTAAGGACCGTCCGTTGCTGTGGATGGTAGTTAGGTCACAGACTTATTATTCTGAGCACATGCTTACTTATGGGAGCGGGAAGGCTCATTATGCTCTTGTTGTGGGTTCCGGCTCTTTCCGGACCAACTGATGGAGGTGGGGAAAGGTGGAGGTCTAAGCACCACACTGAGACCGGATCTCAAGTGTGGGGGCTTGGAGTCCAAGTTTGGACGGGGGCCTAAACCCCTTGACAGGAGTGGAATGGGTTGGTCTTGTTTATGTCTGGGGTACAAACGGGGCGTGTGTTTTGAGGTACCCAGTTGTGATACATTGGTTCATGAATCGCCGTTTCTATGAGACAGTACGACTTGGCTATGGTCTAGCACCATAGTAAGAACTGAAAGATGAAATATGGTAAAATGGTTCTGATTGCTCAACTCTTGCTTGAAAGTAGAACAAGTGCTTACCTAGAATGGTTAGCTTATGAAGTAATCTTGACTGCTAATAGAATTTGACTGTAAGGATAAACTATTAGTAATGCTTTTCGCAAACAAAAAGAAAACAGCAAAACCATATTGCCTATCATACTCCTTGAGAGTCGGGAAACTATTCCCATTAGTCGGGTAAGTCTTGCGGGTACATTGTGTACTCAGAGTTTATTTTACCCCTATTGCAGATGCAGCTTGAGGAGTAGCTCTTGTGTGGAGGATTCTTATGGTAGGCACAGATGGATCCTTGTATCGTTTCCGCTAGATGCTTATTTTTATTTCGCTATTTAATTATCGCACTCTGAATTCTGGTATTGTAATAAATAATTTCTAAGAACTCTTGTTGTATGAAATGAACTAAGTATTGTAAGCTTGTACTCATTATTGGATTCTGGATATAAAACGTGGATTGTTTCGAGTTCTCCCTTGGGGTGGGCTCGACGAAACTGCCCGATGTAGCTAACTTTCAGGGTGCTTAGTGTCTAGAGGAAGACGAGCGCCTCCGAAAACGTGTTATTTTGGGCGGTTCTGCCACAATTGGTAAGAGTGGCTGTTGGAAGAATGTGCTTATATTGGCTCTTTCTGTCCTACTGTTTGCTCTTTGGATGAAGATAAACAATTGTCCCTCGTGTAATCACAATGTGTAGGCCAATGATGACAACAACCTAGGTTTCATTACCTGCCTTCATGCTTTTGTTCTGTGTCTCACGAACCCATGTCTTAGCTGGTTATGCTTTTGGACTGCTGTTGTATGTACTGAACTCACATTTGTGCTGTTGATCTCTCAGTCACATTGGTTTTTAATTATCTCGAGGTAGGTATGATTAATTAATGCATTACAACAATAATTAGTCCTGAGGCCAATCCGATCAAAATCACATTGTTGTTGTTGTATCCTCTTGTCTGATCACATTTGCATTCTCAAATCTGTTGTTTTCTCTATACATTGCTGGTTCTAGTATTTAGCTTATGGCTAGTAGGGCCGAAATCAAACAAAATCGCCATCTGGTAATTGGAGGTAGTTGGTGTTGGACTAGGCTAGCTAGAAGAAAAACAAACACAACCTCTCCTGAGCCCGTTTCCCCAGCTGCAGGAAATCAAACACACCCTTGTGTGTGCTCTAGACCAGGCCGTGGCTGGCCAGGGCCTGGCTGACAGGCTCGGCCACCCCTGCGCCCTATATCAAATAGGCCCGCTGTAAGTTGCAGTTGTTTTATCTGAATGTTGCATATGTTTCACACACATGTTGCAATTGTATGTTCCAAATATTTTATCTGCTTCAGATATATGTTGCATTTAAGTGTTTCATGGTGCAAGTGGTTCATGTTTCAGAGGTATATTCAGACAGTCATGGAGACACGACCCGGGCGCCGGGGGAAGGGGCGCGGCGAGCCGGGTGCCGACGGATGGGGCGCGCGACGCGTCTGGGGTCCTGCGGGCGGGGCGTGCTCGTCCTCATTCCGGCTCCCAGGTCCCGCCCGCGCGGAGAGAGAGAGGAGGGGGTTAGGGGAAGGAGTGACGGGCGCGGGGCGATGTTTCGCGTGTGTGGCGGGACGAGGCAAACAGGGAAGGGCTGCAGCGATATGGTGGGAGTGCGGGCGTTTCTGCTGGGCCGTTCGATACCGTTCGCTGAAATTCTATCCCATCAGACGTCCGGGCACCAGCAATTAAAAAAAAAGACAAAAGAAAATAGAATGTCCCCTCCTGCCCTCTACATTGCATGACACCGCCCTTTTACACATGTCATGTAGTTATTTTGTTGCAAAAGGAAGAAGATTTTTGCTAATTTCATTTCTTCTTCCTCTTTTTCTTGTTGCATTGTTGCCTTCGGGGGCATTCAGGCCGAAATGCATGCCATGTCTACTTATCAGCGAAGAATGTCATCCCGGCCCAGCCACACCACAATCATGCTGGCACGACTCCTAGCAAAAGCACACAAGTTTATTTTTGTTTTGAGTTTTGATGCTTTACTCATTATACTGCAAGAGGTATTTGTAGAGACAGTTATTAATTTGGCCAGTCTCTACTTACCTATATTTTGAAATCAACAGCAGGTCAAAACCAAACAATTCTCAGGCGTGCGGTTGCGGGGAATCATAACAAATGATTGATATAGTTCTTTTTTTTGTCCATTTTAATGGTAATCCATATTTGAGACTCTAAATAAATTCAAATTTAAAAGTTGGAACTGAAAAGCTCCAGATATCTTTGAACACTACAACTTTGGTTTAGATCTTTTCTCCATTCGAGACCATTTAAAAAATTCAAAAAAAAATAAAATAAAATAGGAAAACTTAAAATAGAATTCTTTGGCAATAAATAAACTGAATTGATAACGTAGTTAACTACAAAGTCATAGATAGATATGCCATTAGAAAAAACAGAATTATCTATATATCTAATACCTAATACTAAAGAGATAAAATTTCTCGCCACCCTAAATTTTCGTCCTAACTTTACCCTACTAATAATACTAATAATCTTTTCCGTTCACAGCTACTAGATTGAGTCCAAATCCGATGTGAGTCCAGATTGGATCTCACCTCCAAGGCAGAGGCACGAGGCATCCACCTCCAATAGCAAATCCACAGGACACTCAATAGGCAATAACGGATTCATAAACAAGTCTTTAAAGGACTAGTATATTGCCCGTACTAACGCTAGGAGTCACGTTAAGTAACTTTTCTAGGCACTCATAAATTCTAATTATGAAAGAAAAATATGTGAGATCAATGCCCTCAGGTCTGGTTTGATCTTTTTATAACTATCAACAAAATGCATTTTTTAGAAATACCTGCTACATTTATAGAACATGACCAACACAGCAGTTGCAAGAAACTCCCGACCATGCGAACATTCCAAATGGTGCTGTCATAGTCATGGCATATTGTCCCGAGGAGACCAGCAATAACATACTACAGAAGATCAATATAGTGAAAAACATAAAGACTCAGTTTACCTAATATAACATAGTGTATTTATGTAATAAGCATGCCAATAATGGTGCACATACACAATATTTCATGCCATCCTGGAACCTACACCTGCTAATTTCATTTCATTGAAATTATCGCCTAATTTGTGGCCCAATTTCAACATCTGAAGAGAGCCAAATCAGATTAGAGATTCCTCCTCCGGTCCTCCTTACTTGCGGCTGATGAACTTGAGGAGGTCGAGTGTGACGACGTGGAAGCGGTCGTAGACGGGGCCGACGACGGCCTTGACGGTGCCCTCAATGTGGTCGACACCGGGCGGAGCAGACCCACGCCCTACTTGGCATATGCGTATGGTGCGTCCGCCAACACCAGCACTTGCGCCGCCGCCTGCCGCACGAACTCGAGGTACCGCAGCCTCTCGTCCGTCGTCACCGCCCTCTCCACTGTCACCTCCACCTGACCAAATCAGACAAGCGTCATATGCAAGCAACAATAAAATACGAGGTTCAAAAATATATCTCACACAAACGAAAGGTGGAAAATTACTAGGAGACCATTGTGGAGCTTCTTGGCCATGATCATGAGGAAAGCGTCAGCACTCCCTGGAGCCTTGCTCAAACCCAGATAGATATTTTTTTTATAAACAAACCAAGCTAGATTTTGATATAGCACATAATCCGATTCACTGCTATTCCCAGCCATCTCCAGCAACCTAAATCACTTGACGCATATGCCCTGGAAAATTGAGAGGATTATGATGAGGATGAGCGCGACGATGATGCCGAGGACGATGAGCTTCATCTTCATTTTCTGGTACCACATCTTACGCCACACCTGCACGCTGAGCCACCTGAAATCAGCATCTTCAAACAAACAGAGGAGCCAATGTTCTGTTTCAGTTCTTCTCTTCTGTCTGACACAGGCAAGTTACTGAAGAGATACTTGGTTATGATGATATAAACAGAAACTTGCAACAAACACAGACATCATCGTGGAGCTGCTCTGTCCTTGTGACAGGCCCATTGATCTGTTGTCCGCGATCAAAGGCCTAAAATATTTCCACCAAATTAATTCCTCATTCAGAAGTAGTATTTCAAAGTAAGCTTTAAATGGTGGTAAGCAATTCTGCACTGAAACTTGCAGTCATACAATACAACTCTGCTTTGTTTCAATTGGCCACTCAGTCACTCGACACTCAGTCAACCATTCCGAGCCACTTGGTCACTCGATCACTCAATTTGTCATCTCTCGATTGCTGGGTTACTCGGCCACTCAGTAACTGAACCCAATCACTCGGCCACTCAGAAACTGAACCCAAGCACTCGGTCACTCAAGCACTCGGTCACTCAAGTACTCGGCCACTCAATCACATGGTCACTCAGTCACTTAGCCGCCTAGTAATCTAGTAGGCTGTAGTTCTGAATAAAAGCAATGTGTTTTTGTACTTCTGAAGGAATGGACAGCTAAATTTTTATAAAAGTTCGAAATCATAAAATAACATTGCACCTTCTATAACCCCGAAACAGTAGTGTTCATGACAATCGGTAGCATGTCGCTTGTAGTCAGAAAATCATGAGATGCAACAAGTTACATCAATTTGCTATGAAATTGTGAATTTGCTACAAAACCATCACTTCTCAGGGGATAGTACCTGGCACACTTGAATTGTGCATCTTTCCATTGATACTTGAGAAGGGCAGCTCCTCTACCATCTGGAAAAATGGCAGTAACTTTCTGCAAATAGCGAGTCGAATCAGAAACTGACAAATACATACCGTAAATCACAGGAGGTCAAGAGCCACAAATTTGCAAAGTAGTAATCTGTAGTCTCAAATATCAGTCAGGGCTTGGTAGGAGCTAGAGTGGTGCAATCCTAAGCTGGAGAGAGTAAAAGCCATGTCCAATGCTGAAACGACCATGTATTCAAACCTGTCCTGTCAAGTGTGTCCATGAAAATCTGTGACACCGGAAGGTCCCGGGTTCGAGTCACGGTCTCCTCGCATTGCACAAGCGAGGATAAGGCTTGCCACTGACACCCTTCCCAGACCCCGCACAGAGTGGGAGCTCTCTGCACTAGGTACGCCCACCCAGAGCTCAGCGTGTGCTCCTTCCTCATTGATGAACTCCAACTGAGGGATCAACAGCTCTGCCTGTAATAATGACATCACCAATCGTAAATCCTCAAGAATCGAATGGTAAATTTGCATATTCAGAAGCTCAGTAAAAAGTGAATACTTTTATACAACATTATAGCAGGTACGATTGAACCGAATTACAGAAGCAACAATACATATATGCACAATGAGATTATAATATACTGGAGCTCGTAGCCCCTGGAGTTGACCAAATCAGCGCTCGCATCCCCTGACTGCCGAATCATCTTTGCCATAGCTGTGGCATGCTCCTTGGTAGCCGCCTGGAAGCTTTGTTGCACCTCGATGATCTGCCGGTGTGCGATGGCCTGCGTGGGCAGCTCGATCTTGATCTCCAGCAGCTCCCCCCGCTGCCGCACGATGCTCTGCAGGCGCTGCTGCAGGATGTCATCGCTGAGCTTGGTGATGGCGCAGAAGTCACAGAGTCCACCCGCCCCTTCCCGCGCCCACAACACCCAAAGCGGTCATCCCCAACGTTCCCACGGGCGGAAACCCGTGTTATATATATATATATATATATATATATATGAAATTTTTTACAATAATTGGGGAAAAATTCGATGGCTGACATCGATCGAGAGCGGCCAATCCGACGGCAATAAAGGTAGGAGGCAACGGGAGGCAATGGGATGGAGGCAACGGGAGGTGATTGCTGTGTCTATGATCGGTGGGCCATATGCGCAAAAATCGTCTTCCATTACCTCCGCAAATGTGGGGATTATGACTGGGCGGTAATTTCATTCTCGTAGTTTTTTTTAATAAAGGGTAAAATGGTAACTCTATAAATGCAGTACTAATAGTTTTTTTTTCGTCATCCGCTCAGGAAGGTAACACGAGCGAGATAGCCTCAGCTGGCAGTGCCAGCCATAACGTCGCCGGAGAAGCACTTTGTAGAGGTAAACTTGGGATGGAAAGATTGTCAACCTTGTTGATGGGCTTTGAATTGCCGGTGTTCAACATGTACTTTGTTCGTCAGGCTATTAGATACTCCATCTTAGGATTTGGAACGGATGAGGACACACTTACCAGGGCGATCATCTCAGGGTCCGAGATCGGCATGAACAAGATCAAAGAGGAATACAAGGTCAGGTTCAAGACCACGGTCACCAGCGACATTGTTGATGACACCTCCGAGTATTACAAGGACTTACTGCTGACCTTGATAGGGAGTGAAGATTAAAATTAAAACAACCTACTTTTGTTGGGAAAGATGTGTAGAATGTGTATCCGCAACCACCTTAAAAAAAGAACTTTCATCAGAGAACATGTACAAAGACCGAAAATATTCTGATGCATTCATGCATATGCATCCATTCTTTACAAGATTTTAAAAGGTCCATATCACGTTCAGATAAACCAAACCATTCTCTCCTTTGTGTTTATTGGATAGTTCTGAAAAGCTCACGTTCAGATAAACCAAACCATTCTCTCCTTTGTGTTTATTGGATAGTTCTGAAAAGCTCCTTTTCCGCTTAAAAAGTCATTAAGCAGAACGCTTTGAGGCCACACAAAAAATTCACAGAAAGTAAAGTGCAGCAATTTCATATTGGCGATGAGGAATGAACTCATCTAGGAAACTAGGATCCGGGATCAGAGTATTATTATGCACTTTGTTATTCTACTATACTCACAACATCTTCTGCAGCAACACAAAGTACAACAATCGAAATGTTCCTGAGCCTCATCCTCTACTGTTAAGAATACATTTATCTCTCGTTTGGACGCAATACAAGGTTGGTCTCACGCGCAAAGTACAGGAAAAAAGACAAGTGAGCACCCCTTCACACTGAGCACAAAAGTGATGATCATATGTCACCAAGCTTTTGCCCGTCTTGATTTCTTATTCACTTCAAGAGAGAAGATATCTTCATCTTCTCCTGGATGACGAAGAAGCCGCAGCAATTATACCACCAGCAACAAGACCCACAACTCCAAAGGCGCATGTGATGATAGCCATGCCAATCATACCATCTGCATTTAACCATCAAATAAGCCGTTAGCCCAAGTTAGACAAACCATAAACAGTGCATTGGAATGACTAGAGGTTTGCTCTATTGTTCTTTTCTAATATTTGAAACATGGATACATGGTAGATAACTTTATTAAGACATGATGTCTTGATCCCTCTGCTTTTCGGTCCATGGTGACAAAGCAGTGGTTGGGGAGGTGAGGTCTCGATTTGGGGATATATGTGAAACTTATCTCTTGATCAATACAATTGATATTTACATTAGCTTTGGGTTCATCACGTATGATTCGAGAAGATGCCATGGATAGGGCATTATTCAAGACACTCCATAAATTGAAAGGTAAGAGGGTCGAGGTCAAGCGAGCTATTTCTAAGGAACCGTCTCCTAGACCTAGCATGTGCTCTCCTATCAATGGGTTCAATTATGTAATCAGGTAGAACCAATAGCTTCCTTAATGGATATACCCAGATTACAATATGAGTCCATTAGGTGGCTATGGAATGAGGATGGATGAATGTTTTGGTCTTCTATCGTGTGGGAATAATGGTTATCCATCTTTTGGTGGTAGTTATGGAATTGGAATGAATTTTGACGCATGGATGAACCCATGTCTTTGAAAGTGGCTCTAGCTTCAATAGTGGTATCCAGCGTGGATGGCATCTTAATCCATATTACAATGGAAATTCAGGTGGATTCAACAACTATGTTAGCTATGGTGGAGTCAATGAAAATAATGGTTTCTTGTTTGACTCACTAGTTAGTAACCTTTTGGGGTATTTTTGCCCTTAATCACTCTTCTAGTTCCACAAGCTCTAATTTCTTTGTGCCATTTAGAAATGGGGACCTTCTTAGTGGAATTGGGAACAATAATGTGAATTGGGGAAACCCTCATCATGTGCCTACTCTAGGTGCCAATAATTGCTCATTTCTTTGTACTAGAAACTTTGGTTATGGGTCCAATGAAAGCAACTTTGGTCAAGGTTCCAATGTTTATGGAAGGAATGTTGGATCAAGTGGTGTCAGTAACTTAAACCAATCAACCAATGGGTATGCAAGGAACTTTGGAGATTCATCAATAGGTGGTGGCTCCATCTATGGAGACACAACTTCGACATCGTGGATCTTTTGAGAGCGTGATGTTACAAAAATGGTTTCAACCGGTTACATGGGCCATTGACTAATAAAGGTTAGATAGTTTGTTTCTTGTGTCATGATATCATTATCCAGCTTTCAACACTTCATTAATTTATTTTGATAGTTTTCAATTATTAGATCCAAGCATCTTGACTATGTTAGTGTGCAATGTCGATTGAACTTAACAGACTTTACTTAATGCATCCAAGATTTGGTTTTGGAATTTTTGTGTTGTTTTTCTTTTTGTGATCCTAGGTCTCCCTATGGTTCCAAAATTAGTAACCATGTTAAATGTTCTCTAAGATTATTCCTTGCATATGTGCCATAAGAAGAGTTTGTTCAATTATGTTATATGATTGCCCTTTTGTTTGGTACAGGGATGGTGTGTGAATTGATTGAGTTTACTTACGAAGTTGGTCTTTATGGGACATAGACCTATATTTTGTTCTTTTGGGGAAGCGATGGTTATAATTGGCCTTTTTTACGGATTGTGGACTTCTAATGTGTCTAAACTTCTAATGATTTTACAACTTATCTCTTGATCAATACAATTGATATTTACATTAGGACATGGAGAATTATTGGATACCAAACTGTTTGCTTCCGCTTATAACAGATTCTTGGTGGAAAAAAAGAGAATCCCACCAAATGCCTTGATTATCTCAACTTACGCTCACCACCGATTGAAACTTTGAACTAGCAAAATCGAGAATCGAAAAACATCCTGCATTACGGCGATTGCAAGCAGACAGGGCCATCATGTTGGCATTATAGTAGCACATGATAAGCTATTGGCCATTCATTTTCCTAACTTGGTAGTGGACATTATAGTAGGAGATGCAAAATCCATGGGCATCCATTTTATCATTTTAATACATGTCAAATGAAGTGGGTTGTGTAGTACAAATTACATGCGGTAGTGCAAGAAGATACCGGTGGTCCGACACATCCTCCTCATCACTCCAGATCCCCGACACCCATTCAAGCATCTCTGAATCTCATGGCTCCAAGATTTGCGGCACTATCGCCAACAGTGTCGTCGATGCCACCGACATGATTTAGGCATGGAGAGACATTGTTCTTGCGATTGCGTACGAATACTTATTGCATCGGCCATCGTCGAGGCGAAATTCATGATTGCACACCGAAATATAATGGATCATATAAAAGAGCATGCATGAGCTATGGACTCGATTGCATAGAAACAAACGAGCATAGGTGTTTCCAATTCAACTACAAACAGATCTCTAAAAATTCGTGCGTTCCACAGACATACCTCGTTGGGTGACACAGGGCCTTTTGATAGGAAGATCACATCCTCCGCTCACGCAAGCATTGCGATGACCGCGATTCCATTCCAGCGATTCTGCGGCGGCAGTGAAGCGTCTCTCCCTCTCGGGGAGAGGCATGGAGAGACTCCGTTCACGCAGTTCACGTAGTCAGGGGCCAAGCACCTTTCGGCGCTCTTCTTCAGAGCCATGGATTTTCCCGTCTTCATCTTCTTCTCAGCCGATGATTTTCTGGATTCATCTCTAGACGGGCGTGGATGTGGCCGCGACGTGGTGAAGGCGGAGATCAGCGGCAGCGGCCTTGTCGAGCTCGGCCGCCCGGCGAGCTAGGTCTAGGGCTAAGGCTATGGCTCGGCGGCCCCTTTAGGGTTCTAAGGTGGCGGCGCGGTGCTCTGGGCATCTTGTTTATAGGGGCGGTAGCGGGAAAACCTCGGGGCCACGATCGAGGGGATCGGGCGGCGGTGGCTACGCCCGGCTGATGCGGCGCTGTGGGAGACACGTTCGATGGAGGGAGGGTAGTGGGCTTTGGCCCGAGGCATATCGCCGGGAGTTGGGGAGAAGTTGCCGCTCTGTGTCCATCTCCAAGGAAGGAGGCGACACTGTGCGTGGAGCCGCTGACACACGGGCCCCTGCAGTCGGCCGCAGGGCGCGGCACAGGCGCCAGGCGCCGAGTTCATCATTGGGGCGGCGGTGGCGCCGCACTGAGGCGGGGAAGGGGACGCAGCCCCACGGGGCGAAGGCGAGGAGCAACGGTGGCGAATCAGCATAGCAGGAGGAGGGGACGATAGGAGGGCCTCCGCGATGGCGGCAGCCTAGGCCTGGCAGCCAGCGGGCGTGGGATCTGGGAAGTACATCTAGGGGGGGCGGTGGACGCGGGGAGGGAGAAGCTCGGTCGCGCCGGCGATGGCGGATCAGACGAGGGCGTCTAGCTCGGTCAACTGAGGAACGGGAGTTCGGACAAGGTAATGACCACCTGGCCCCACGTGGCAGTGGAAAGAAGAGAGGGAGGGCTGCGGTTGGTTTGCTGGGCCGGGTAGTGGGCTGTGGCCCAGAACGAAAATAGAGGGGAGTGCGAGAGCGGTGGAGAAGGAAGTCAGCTACATGCCTGGTTTAGTCCCACCTCGCTTGCATATCAATCAAAAGCACAGCTTTAAAAGCGCAGACAAACTAGCCATTTCAACTCCTGTACTACACCGCCTATGCTCTTGAACATTTGTTACTGTGCTAATTGGGCGGTAGCGGCTGGTTGGGCTCCTTGGAGGTTGAGCTGGCCTAGCCGTTCTTGGCCCTTAGCACCAATTTTTTCAAACCATCCATTTTGCAATTGAAGTCCCTCTTGAAAACCTTTTTTTCAAACCATTTATTTTGTAATTGATTTTTTTGTATCTTCCTAAGTCTTGATTTGTAATATAAAGCGGACCTTAAAATAAAAAACTTGGATTCACACATAAAAACACGTGGATAGAGTGATCGGTTCAACCTATAAGTGCACTCGGATGACACATAAGAGTGATCGGTTCACTTCCTATCATGTTAGGTTAACGGTCTATCAGCCACCGATCAAACGAGCCGCGAGAATGTAGGTTATGTACTTGTCGTCCTACGAGCACTAGTCTAGCTACTCAGAGGAGACATGAGAGTGATCGGTTGACTTTGTTATCGTGCTATTAGCCTGTTAGTCCACTCGGACGACACGTGATAGTGACGGATTAGTTTGTATCATGTTAAGGCTAGTGGTTCACTCTGTCGAGACATGAGAGTGATTGATTCACTTCCATTCACTTTAGGCCTTTTACTCCACTCAGTCAGTACGTGCAAACTAACTTTTTAGACAAGACATGAGAGTGATCTGATGGACTTAATTTATTACCATGGTTTACGATTATTACTCCACTCAGACAAGACATGAGAACCATCGGTTCACTTTGTATCATGTTAGGCCTATTAGTACATGTCGGAGTGATCGATTCACTTTCGTTCATGTTAGGCCTATCAGTCCACTGATCAGATGAGGCACGAGAGTGTAGGTTGAGTTGCTGTCGTGGTAGGACTACGACTACACTCAGACAAGACATGAGAGTGATCTGATGGATTTCTTATCGTCTGAGTGTAGTCGTAGTCCTACCACGACAGCAACTCAACCTACACTCTCGTGCCTCATCTGATCAGTGGACTGATAGGCCTAACATGAACGAAAGTGAATCGATCACTCCGACATGTACTAATAGGCCTAACATGATACAAAGTGAACCGATGGTTCTCATGTCTTGTCTGAGTGGAGTAATAATCGTAAACCATGGTAATAAATTAAGTTCAACCGAGCACTCTAACCACATGTTACCAAGTGAACCGTATGAGTGCGTATTTCACGTGTTAGTAAAAAACATGTACCCTATTTTGGGTTGTGAATAACTAAACAAAATAAAGTATTTAATAATTTTCCTAAAATTATCTATTTTTTTGGAGATTGGTTTGCAAAAAAAAATTAAAATCAATGGTTTGCAACAACAAAAAATTGGTGCCATGGGCCAGCGACAGCTAGGTCAGGTTCGACCACAAATAGGGCCCTACCAGGCCGCACCGGCCCAATTAGCCCGGTATATAGCTGACTCCCCGGTCGAGCCCGAGCCCGAGCGCGCGGCCCAAGGCCCACTATGCCCTCGCGCCCAGTTGCGTCGCTCGGCTGCCAAACACGGGGGTAACTAGAAACTGGGTTTGAAGCCACAATCTCCGCGCGTAATTATAGGATCGTAGCCGCCACGTTCCCGGCGTAGTTGCTCTTTCTCTACATCCTTGATTTCTGTCTCGATTTCTCCGGCGAACAACGACAACATCACCTGGAATCGGCACTGGCACCATGGACAAGGCAGGAGATGCAGAGCAGTCCCCACGTACTCCATTCAACATGGGTACAGGTGAATGATACATCCCTCCTTCAGTTTAATTAGCACAGGGTTTTTGTACGGGGAATTATTTTGCGTCTTTAGGTGTGCATCTTGGTATTCTTTTGCGTCATGAGGTGTGGATCTTGGCATTCTTTTGTACGGGTATGCGTTGATGGTGAGGTACGACCCGGTCCACTCTAGGAACTCGATCATGGGCTTCATCACCGATTGCGCGATGTCGTCCCGAAAATTGCCCGCGGACGGCGGCCAGGACTCGTTGAGTGCGGTGAACGCGATCGGCGTCGACACCTTCATGGCTGTGTCTAGGCCAAGCTTCACCAGCGCGTCGTGCACATTGGCCATGGCTGGGACGAGCTGCCCGCTCAGGTTCTTGGCCTCCCCGAACACCTCGTTCCCCACGGCCACGCCGTGGATCCGCGTCGTGGAGTAGTACGCCGCCACGTTTCTCTGCACCCACCGTGGAGTAGTCGACAGGTCCGCGGCCGTAGCTATGTCGCGGGGTAGTACGCCGCCACGTTTCTTGCACCACCGAAGCCGTGTCAGGCAGGTCATTCCCCAACCGGCCGTAGCTCACGCCCACCATGCCGGCATCTACATTGTACACAGTAAAAAACAGTTAGCATAGCACTAGATTGGACCTGGAAAAATAAACAACAGTCTGAGCTGAACGCGGTTACCTGCAGGGGATATACTTTCTTCTTCTCTTAATAGGACGGGTCAGCATGCTGCTTTGGGAAATAACATTAGGAACATCACCATGAGTCCTGCTCTAGGAACGCACACCTCCAGCAACATCTCCA